GGGAGGGAGGGAGGGAGGGATTGATTGATTCATGTTCACATGCACACACATAAATAAAATTTTTAAAAATAACCCTAGTGTTAGGGTTTGCATCCAGAACATTGTCCCCCAAATGCTCACATGTGGAAGACTTGGTCCCCAGTGGGGATGTGTTCTGAGGTGGGGCCTGTGGAAGCAAACTGGATTGTGAGAACTTTAATCTCTTCTGTGGCTATCCCTTAATGGATTCGCAGCTGAATGGGCTATTGGGAGGAAACTACAGAAAGTGGGGTCTAGGCGGAAGAAGCAGGCCACTGGGAGTGTACCCTGTCCCAGGCCCTCACTCTCTCTGCTCCACTTCCTACCCATCATGAAGTCAGTAGTTTCACTCAGTCATGTCCTCTAACCACAATGGCCCAGAAACAATGGTGCCACCCAAGCACAGACTGAACCCCTGACCTGTGAGCTAAAATACATCTTTCCTCCCTTAAACTGGTGTTCTCTGATATTTTGTCACAGCAACAAAAAGCTAACTAATAACTAGCTCCCCTGCTGGTCACCATGGCTCATCTCAACAGCAGGAAAGTTCCCACAAGCCAGAACTCTTTTAAATCTCATTCCTTCATTCAGAACCTTTCCAACTTCAGGACCACACTGCCCCCTACACTCCTCCTCCCATACCCAGGCATTGCTAAGACATCCTTTATCTAGCCTTATCTAGCCTTCTAAATTTCCATCATTTTCTGCCTGTGTTTGGTTAGTTTTAACTGTCAACTTGGCACAACCTCAAATTACCTGGGAAGAGTCCTAATAAGGAATTATCTAGATCATGTTGGCACCAACACACATGTGGCGTGCACACACACACACACACACACACACACACACACACACATGAAAAATGGAAAAAGGAAATGCTGTGTGAGTGAGCAAATCCCTAGGTGAACAGATGATGGATGAAGGGAATATCCAAGTGCATAAATGAAAGAATAACCAGTGCACACATGAACAAACCCCAAGAGAAACTTTGTCTCAGTGAGTAAATAAATAAATGTGTCAAGCAATGATTTAACTAATAGGGTTGGGACCATAGCTCAAAGGTATAACAACTGCCTAGCATATGCAAAGCCCTGAATTCCATCCTGAGCACCACAAAAAATTTAAGATTATTATTTGGGAAAATGAAGGTGTAACTTAGTGACAGATTAATTTACTGGGATATATAAGGCTCTGGTTTAACCCCAGCACTTAAAAAATAATGGGAGCTGTCAAGATGGCTCCACAGGTAAAGACAATTTCTGACAAGCCTGATGACCTGAGTTGGATCCCTGGAACCTACATGGTAGAAGGGGAGAACTGACTCCTGCAAGCTGTTCTCTGACCCACATGCATACAATCACACATGATAAATATGTAAATATAATAAAATAATCATTGTGAAACAGTTTAGTGAATGAGTAGATTTATGACAGAATGAAAGTGTAAATGAGTGATTTAACTGATGCACAGGAAGAGAGATGAATGAGACAATGAGTGAACCATGTTAGAAAGATGAGGAGGGAATGAGACAGAGGAGGGAGTGAATGAGACAGATGAGGAGGGAGGGAATGAGACAGAGGAGGGAGTGAATGAGACAGAGACAGAGGAGGGAATGAATGAGACAGAGGAGGGAGTGAATGAGACAGAGGAGGGAGTGAATGAGACAGAGGAAGGAGTGAATGAATGAATGAATGCATTGTCAGAAAAAAACACTGAAGAAAAGAATGAGTAAATGAATCAGTGGTTGGGTGAATTAACCAGTGCAGAAGTGTGGTGGTGCATGCCAATAATCCCACCATGTAGGAGGCTGAGGCAGAAAGCTGGCAGGTTCCAGGTCATCCTGGGCTATACAGGAAGACTTTTTTAAGAAGCAATGCAATGAACTCACAAAAACTATGTTTGCCTGTGCAAGACCTGCAACTGTACGAGATCAAGCCACTTAACATTCCAACATGGATGGGGAGGGGTCCATGAGACCCCACCCCTAGCTGGGGTTATTGATGACTGCTGGGAAAGGGGGAGTTTGTTTTCTTCAGGGATGTGGCCTCCAAGCTCCAGTGGATATCCCTACACCCATGTGCCTACAGACAAGCTCTAACTGGAATCAGGTTATCTATAGCAACGTAAAAGAAGAGGATATGAAGTTGGAAGGAGGCCACGGGGAGGGTCAGGGAAGAGTTGGAGGGGGATTTGGAGGGTATTCTCAAAATACATTATATACCTGAATAAAATTTCCAAAGAAAAAAGGTTTTTAAATACATTACAAAATGAAAAAGTGAGTGACCTGATGCAGAGAAGAACAAACAAGTGAATGAATCCCTGGACTGGTGCACAGAAGGAACAGATTAATGAGGTCAGAAACAGCTGAATGAGTCACTACAGAAAGGTATAAATGGACAAACGAGCTAACAATTTAACACACAGGTGAATGACTCTGACCCACTATGCCCAACAGTCCCATGAGCAACTTCCACAGAGCCTGGCTGGTCCAGTCCCATCTCCATCACTCTCCTGCACCATCACTACCCACCAGGCGCAGGCAAGCACTCACCAGATGATGATGCCCACCAGCCTCATAATAGCCTCGTTTAGGCTGTCAAAGAAGTCCCTCAAGACTCGGCCTTTGTGCTTCATGCCACCAATGACCAGCCCGAAGGCTACAGAGAAGACCACGAGGCCCAGGGCGTTGATGCCGTTGGCAGAGCCAGGCACTGGCACAGTCTCCTCAAAGCTGAGCACCTCCTGCAGAGTGCCCAGGGCCCGGGTGACATTTTCCAGGATGCTGGTTTCATTCTCCACCGAGGATAGGGGAGACATGGAGGCCCCCAGATCTGACCCATTCTCTGTCCTTACAATGGTCCTGGTTACCACTCTCGTGCTGTACTGCGTCTTAAACTGAAATGCAAAGATTGGGCCAGACTCAGTAAGGCAGATAACTCACCTAGAGAAATCCCTAAGAACACCAATTCCTAGCTCCCCTTCCCTGGGAAGTCTTGTTGACTAAATCCTAATGAGTGAATGTGTGATTTGACCAAGGTATAAATGGAGTGAATGAATTGCTGCAACCACTATGAAGAACAGAATGGGCAGTCCACAAAAATTAAAAATAGGGGGCTGGAGAGACGGCTCAGCAGTTAAGAGTGCATACTGCTCTTGCAAAGCACCCATGTTGGGTAGCTCACAACTTCCTATAACTCCAATTCCAGGGGATCCAATGACCTCTTCTGGCCTCTTCAGGTACTTACACACACACACACACACACACACACACACACACACACACACA